TAGCATATTTTATTATTTTTAATGTATTTTTTATTAATTTTGTTTTATTGTTTATTTTTTAATAATATATATTTATGAATTTATTAATTTTTTCTTACTGCATGAGTCACATATACAGAACATATATATATTATGAAGTGAAGTGTCCAGTAATAAAGATAAAACACACTCACTGTAGATTATTAAGAGTTGTTTTTCAAATAGTTTTACTACTGTTTGTCACACTATAGGGCATATTAAAGGTGCAGGTTAGTAAAATGCATGACTGTGTTTGTGTTCAGGATCTGGGCCGGAGAGATGCAGACACCTACGACACGCTCCACGGCATGAAGAAAAAACCTCTCGCTTAAAAAACACTGAAAACCGTGTTTCTGTTTGTAGTCCAGCAAACGACGGCAGTTTTTACTCTATCAATTTTGCTGTAACCATGTCCCACATTAACAAATACTGTAGTGCTTTATAGCTGTGCTGTGAAGTGTATGAATGTGGTATTTAATGAATGCTTTAGCTATGGTGAACTGATAATCTGAGCAAAATACTGTAGTAAACTTTAGATTTTCTTCAGAAAATGTGATGTATTGTAGTATAATATAGAGTACAGCACTGGATCATTTGTTATATGGTTGTTGTGTGACCATAGCAGTTTTTACTGAGTGTCTTTAAGATAAACCCTGCAGCTCATGTACAAGGCTTCTAAATTCAAGTTAATTAAATTGTGTTTCTAATTTGAACAGTGTTTGGTGTGCTTTTGTGTGTCATTTCTTTTATCCTCCCCGCTGAAAAATCCAGCTTAAACCAGCCTAGGCTGGTTAAAACTGGATTTTTCAGCAGGGTTGTTTATTTTGAACCAGATTTTTAACACGTGCAGCGCCGCCATGTTTGTGTGCGACATCTGGCGGCAGTGACTCTCCGTTTAGGCTCTACAAAACTGTTATGCTGCTTGATATCGGTAATTCTCCTTATATAGTATTTAAACGCCAGTTATCTATTCTAATATAAACACCAGTTTGTATCTCAAATAATTCACTGTTTGTCTCAGTCTCCTATTCCTCTAGTTATGACACAATTACCGCATCAAACCAGAAGTTAGCCGTGAGTGGGAAATTCTAGCCTAACCTCAGACCTTTTTAAAAACGTTATAACAACATAATGTAAATCCCCCAGTGGTTTAAGCAATGTTTATTTATCGTCACTGATGTTAATTTGGATAAAAGAATCGTCTGAATTAAACGTAGCCCTAATATACCCTGCTGAAAAAACGGCTGGTTTTAGCTGGTCGACCAACCTGGTTTTAGAGGGGTTTGGCCATGTCCAGGCTGGTTTGCATCCATTTCCAACCTGGTCTTAGCTGGTCAGGCTGGTATGACCAGCTAAAACCAGCTTGACCAGCCTATAGCCAGGGTGTAAGTCCAGCCAAAGCTATGTCCAGCTTAAACCAGGCTGGTCAAGCTGGTTTTAACTGGTCATTTTCTAGCCTACCAGCTTAGACCAGGCTGAAAATGGCTGGAAACCAGCCTGGAAATGGCCAAAAGCCCTCTAAAACCAGACTGGTCGACCATAGCAAAAAACCAGCCAACCAGCCTAGGTTTTTTCAGCAGTTTAAATTGTATATTTAACCCAAAGTAATGATAATCATCGCGAAATGTTAAGATGTCTGGCTGATAAAGTCAGCTTAATTAACTACAGTGACTGCAACTCTTAAAAGTACAAATGACCAGCAGACGGCGCCAGTTAACAGTTCAAAGCTGTTTCTTGTGAAATGAACTAATAATGAACTAGCATGGTCAACATTAGCATACACTAAAAAATGATTCCTACTAAAAAAAATGAAGGTATTGGTTGTAAACAACTGATATGGGCTGAATTTAATCAAAAAAATTAAGTTTAGTAATGTTCAACTTAATTTGTTTAAATTCAGCCCATATTGATTAGTTCAGATGATCCATTAGTGTAAATGCCTTATAAAACTGTAAATAAATTACTTGTTAAAGCAACAGCAACAAGGGCGACCACTAGAACAAGAACCACGTTAAATTAATAATGTAATGATGGTTTAATATATATACAGTTGAAGTCAAAATTATTCACCCCCCTTTGGTTATTTTTTAAAAAATATTTCCCAAATGATGTTGAACAGATTCAGGAAATGTTCACAGTATGTCTGATAATATTTTTTCTTCTTCAAAAAGTCTTATTTGTTTTATTTCGGCTAGAATAAAAGCAGTTTTTAATTTTTTTAACACCATTTTAAGGTCAATATTATTAGCCCCTTTAATATATATATATATATATATATATATATATATATATATATATATATATATATATATATATATATATATATATATATATATATATATATATATATATATATATATATATATATATATATATATATATATATATATATATATATATATATATATATATATATATATATATATATATATATATATATATATATATATATATATA